TCAGAGCATTCACAAGTTTTAACCTTTTTTCGGTCTGGCTTTGCTTTGCTTTATGCAATAACTTATGGGATTTTATATTCTAACATAAAATTTTGGAAAACGTAACCCAGGTGTAAAAGGGTCATTGGAAAGTCTCTCGACCTAAATGTAAACCGATCAGACCTGATGTGGTTATGGCCAAGCTACAGCTAAAACTCCAAAAATAACTTGAATATTTTAAAGAAAACAAAATGCACAGATAAACTCTCCTGAAGGGCTTTTGTAAACAAAGCTGAGTTAAGATAGGATCCCCCGGTGAAACTTGTGATATTTTGGAAACGTATGCCAGGTGTAAAAGGAGTTTGGAAAGCCTCTCGACCTAAATGAAGAAATGTAAAATGTTTTCCGTGTTTACATAGCCTGATGTAAACACGCGGGAGGTTGAGAGAACACGAGATAAGCGTAGGAAACCACAACGCGAAGCTATACTTACATTTCCTTTATAAAATAACTAATGAAAGAGGAACGAAAACCGTGTTTACATACGCTCATGTAAAATGGTTTTATGGCCAATCAGAGCGCGCGCACTATTTGAATTATTTTATAATGTAAATTGATAAACTTGTGGTAATAGCCAAGCCACAGCCCAGACTCCCAGCAGCTTGCACGCAAACAAAATGTACAAATATTAAACTTTTCTGGTTGTTTTTTCTCATAGCTCTGAGCTGCTTTAACCTAATAGTTCGTTTGGATATTTAAAGTTGGCATCATCCGTCAAGGATCGTATCACTTATTACTAAATCATTAACATGAAAACGTTGTGTTTTCAGAAATAGTGAAAGTATGTCTGGAGAAAGGTAACAAAGAATACAGACAAGGAGAAGCCAATAACGCGATAAACTCCTACACGGAAGGACTTCAAGTGAACTGCAAAGATAAATGGCTGAACGCCAAGCTTTACAGCAACAGGGCAACAGCTCATTTCCGTTTGGGTAACGATTTCATATGTAAACATATAAATCTGCCGTGCAGCGTTACAAGATAACGGAATACACAATCTGCATCAAGAAAAGAAAAAATTGAGCAAATGCAGAAAAGTAGCGTAAAAACATAAATCGCCCTGTAGCGGATGAAAATTAAGCAAAGGAATGATCCTCGTTACATTTTAAGCAATTGTAATTTTTTAAGGCTTCTTTGTTGCAATTCCATATGGTGACCACTTTTTTAAGCCTTATTTCTTGAATCTCACAGCAAACTATGTGGAATGTCTCGATGATGCAACAGTTGCAGTTGAATTGGAACCCTCTTTAATCAAAGCTATCAAGAAAGGTGGGTTTTTCAGACATCAGCCATCAACATTCTAATCTCGGATTTCGTCAAAAGATGATTGTGTGGTTTGTGGCAGGTAACTGCACCCCAAGTGTCAATTGTATCTGGTGTGTCAATGTCTGTGATGTGGGTAAAAAGCATGAGAAAATGTCAATAAGCTCTGAAATACCACCGCCTGTTTAGTTCACGTTGTTGAGCGCCGGAGGTCGAGGGTTCAAGCCCTAGACTGGACCATCTCCCTGAGTCTTAAAATATCTGA